TATGTTACCTAGACCGATGTATTGCCGAAATTTCAATACAATAATATTTTCTTGGCATTGGGATTTTTTTTTTTTTTTCTGTCAGTTTATTTTCTTAAAATAAAAGAACACATAAATTCAAGAAAATATGTCTTTAAAATTTCTCACTGGATTAGAAAACATTTATTTGGCAGCATATTGTTACAATGGCAATACCGCCTAAGAGAGGATATTCGAATTATATCTTACTTTGCAAGCTCCCGTTTGATAACCTATTTTAGGAATGAACCTTAAAAACTGGTGAACCTTTTATTCTAAGGAAAAGTTATTAGGAAATTTTTCATTCATTTAATAAAGGAAATTTTTTTTTTTTCATTGGACCACCCACACACAATGCTTGCAACAAGTATCTCCTACGAGTAAAGTAACAACCTGTAAAGTAACCTTTTTTGTCAAGATATGAAATTCCCATCATGAAAACAGCAATATGATTTTGTGAAGTGAAAAAAAAAAACTTAATTTTTTCCTCTCCTAAATAATAAATTTTTACTTTATGTGTTTCTTCTTCATAATCTAAGTAAAATAAAATATTTAATATACGCTGATTGTATTGAACCCACAAAAGAAAAGTGTTCTTTGTAATTCTGCTGAAAATATTTTGCAAAATACTTACAGTTTGTTTACGTAATGTGTATTTTTTTTTACACTGTACTTTATATAATGTGTTATACCAAAACTGATTTATCAGCTTTATTTTATTGATATAAATACCAATCCAAGATATGTTCTTCCAGGTACAAAATTTTTCAAAATAAAATGAAGACCATCTGTACATCAAGATTGGGAGAGTTTTAACAAAATAAATTTAACTTTTTTTACAACTGCCATAGAGTGAAAATTTCAGTCAATAAAATATTGTGCATTAAACTGTTAAAAAAATTCCTTCAGTTCATGTTAAAACGTTGCATTTGCTGTCGCTTAATGAATTAAAAGGGCTTAAATTCAGCCGGAGGTCGAAATAAATAGTGTTCCATTATTTTAATTTACTATTTCATTATTTGTCATTAATTTCATATAAATATCTGGTTGTAATGGATTTTTCTGCCAAAAATGTTCTTAATAAAGTTAGAAAAAAACTTGAAAACAGTACCTTTAGTGCAGGTAGTAATCACTACACAAATCTGTGATTTTCTGCCAATGTTTTGGTAGTTTTTCAAAGTCTTCAGCCCACTTGGTGGCCGCCAGTCCAAAAACAGATCAACCTCATTTCGGATGTCCTGTGCAGAATGGAAGATAGCAAGATGTTGCTGCAGGTGTGAAAAAAAAAAAAGTAGAAGTCTGAATGTGCAATGTAGGGGCTATATGGTGGGTGATCCTATTCGAGTTCGTATGGAGTCCCGCCGGTGAATGCAGACACATGTGGTCTAGCATTATCTTGATGAAACATTACCTTTAACTCAATTCAACATTTTTCCTAGAAAGTAGTGTCAGCGCGGACTAACATCTCGCTGTACACCTTACTGTCGATGGTTTTACCATTTTCCAGACACTCTTTGTGAATAATAACATGGTAGCCCCACCAGATACAAAGCATGATCCTTTTGTTAGTCAAACTGCACTTTGTGATGCTGCTGACGTGCTCACTGGGTGCAGGTCAGCCCCCTTTTTGGCTTGTATTGTAGTAAGTCCACTTTTTATCACAAGTGATGATCCGTCCAGTATTTGTCCTTGCATTGATATTCGTGCAGGCCCGAACACATCTGTCCTTATCTGCTTAAGTCAGGTCATGCGGCACCAGTAATTGAACTTGTATGTGAAGTTTATCCGATGCATAGTGCAACTACTGGACATGGCACTAACATCTGATTCCTTAGCAAGCTCTCGAGTGGTTGCATACTGATTTTCTTCCACAAGTTCTTGCAGGCAAACCTCATCAATATCAGTAGGACGGCCAGAGTGCTTTGCTTCTTGAATGTCATAGTCCTTGTTTTTGAACTTTTGGTGCCAAACCTTTACAGTGTCACTTGATACAACATTAGTACCTAAAGCTATACACATGATCTAGTAACATTCTGCAGCTGACTTTTTGCAATAGTGTGATAGTTCCATTTCAGACACATTGCACTTCATGATAACGATATTTTTTTTTTACAGATTTCATAACAGTGTTCTGAAGGAAGTCTGTTTCTTTCAAATGGCAAAAATTATCTGACAGTTTAAACATGCCAATGTGAACAGTTTGCGCAGACGAAATTTGTGGTGGCGGGAAACTTTCATTAAAACCAGATAATTTATTATTTCTTTCTTAAATTTACTTTATATGAACTGAAAATAATGGTAAAATTTTAATTTTCAATGCTTCATATACATATGTGTTAGCTTTTATCCACATGTACACTTTCATCTGTGTGGGTATTTGTCACATAGGGCTTTTGTCCAGTTGGGTTTTAATTGGTCTGTGATTTTAATACCTGGTGCACCCATAATATGTTTGAGACAGACATCTGCATTTCTCGCTTCATTATTAGAAACTAGTAATATGTCTGTCCTTTACACACAGAGAGAGGAAAACTATTTCCATGTAAAACATAAAGTATTGCAAAATGTATATAAATACCAAGCAAAAATATTGAAAAGAAATAAAATGTGTAAAAAAACTTTTCAATTTGCATTGCTTGAGGTGATTGCATTATATCATAAAAAAAATTAAATCTTGTGTTGCTAGCAATGAAAGGTTTCATATTAAAATTGCCAAAGAAAAATTTAAATGAAATAAAATTTAAAAAATTGGAAAGCTTTCAGATTTTCATTATGCTTAACGGGGCATTTTTTTAACGTTTTGTGTGTTATTTTTATTTATTAAATATCATGTTCTTTGCAATTAAACCATAAAATTCAGTTCAACAGTAGTATCACAAAATAAAGATCATATCTTTAGAATTTCTGATACACAGTGTTGTGCACTGGGGAGGAAAGTGTACCCCCCTGTACAGTGTTACCATTGCTTGCTTTGAAATCATTGAGTTTCTTAATCAAAAACTCATAAATGCTTTACAAAATGTGAAATAGATTAATAAGACAAATTCCAAATTCAGTCTTCCAGATGCCTTCCAGCGGCCGAGCGGTAAAGACGCTGAACACTGGTAGTTCGGTCCTAGGTTTAAATCCCGCGAACGGGTTGGCTGGGTGTTTTTGTGGTCTTCCTCATGTTTATGTGTAACCTGTATACGAGCCAATTTCTCTTAGAAAGTCCTCCACAAAGGCCCTTTAGGCAGATAGCCCTCATGTGCTTTGCCGTGATTGAATAATCCAATCCATCCAGTCTTCCAGATGGCTATATTCAGGTAGAGATGTGTGTTACTCAAAATTTTATGACTCTAGGTACCATTGTTTTAGCACAATGCGAGAAACATACATATGTTTATGCAGATTCTTCATTATTTAATTTCTTTAAATATAATACAAGGCTCTGATATTTGGTGGCAACAATTTAAAAAGGGGCTGATTGTTTATAGTGAATCAATACAGAATACCAAAATGAAATTAATAGCCCTTCTGGGCAAATTGCCTTTTTGAGCTAATAAATTGAATGCAATCATTCTTCGTGTGTTATTTCTATGTTATTACTTATATTGATTATATTATTATATTATATTTTTCTTTGAAATTCCATCCCATACAGTTCTTATATTTTTGCTGCATTTTTTATTTAGCTCATGATTACTTTTAAAAAAATGTTGACAATTTTTTGTGTCTGGATGCCATATCCATGCTAAAACATTTTAACTCATGAGCCAAATCTCAGTTTTTTTAAAAAATTATTTTAGCATTAATATCTGATTTATTATGCAGTATAATTGCAATAATCTGCACAACTCAGGACCAAGTGTATCTGAAATTGGAGAATTTTTTGGTTATATATTTCTTATTTTTGTTTTTCTGATTTTTATTCAAAATTTAGATAATTTACACATAAATAACTAAATTATAATCAATGTTACATATTCTGAGTGAGTTTTTCTGAATTACTGGCATTTTAATTATGAGATCATTTACTAGCCATTTTTTTCCCAAGAAATTGATGAATAAAATAATTTTAATTTTGGGAGCTGTTAGAACATAAAGCAAAGGGGGGAGCATTAGGCAATTTTGCTGTTGTGCAGATTTCTGATAACCATTCATTTCTAAGCAAAATAGTATTAGAAATGTAAAAAGGAAGAGAAAAGAATAAATGATGGTAATGTTTAGTTGACTAAAAAACTCATGTAAAAATGCATTTGAAGTATTTTGTGCAAAAATGTTATTTATCCATATGCAGAATTACTTTCAGAATAATTTTACATTATAAACATGAATAAAAATAAATATGCTTCAGCAGTATGGTTTCTCCCACTGAAAATTTAATTCCTATACCACTATTGCCATTACATTCTTCACAAGTATAACTGAATTTATAACAGCAGTTAACTCAGGATGTTAGAAATGAAATTTGCATTTATTAAAATAAAATTTGACTATTCCTTTCCTTCCCTCTGCACTTTTAGACCATATTATTTGCTTTGAAAGAGGATTTATCACTGTTAACAGTATTATCTGACATTATTTAGAAGATTGCAGTTCATACTCCTTGTTTGTATGTCATGTCCAGAATGGAACCCATCTCAATGGCTACTTTTATTCCAATTACCCTCGTAAATTTCTAACAGTAAAATAAACTTACTTCACTGGAAGGTGAATTTATTATCTAGGGGCAGAGATATATTCTTTTTAACAAATAGGAGGCATTTGAATTTTGCATATAAACTGCAGCAGGATCAGCAACATAAATATGCAAAAAATATAAAGAATTAGTTATTTTATCATGTTAATTTTGGCAACATAGCTAAAAAATGCAGGGATCCTTGAACTGTTCATCAACAAAGAATACCCATAAACTAGCAAAATTATATAAGGTTAAAATTTATCATGTTCCTTATAAACCTAATTTCATATTTCAGTATCTTATTTTTATTTATTTTAAGTTCATGGATTCCGAAATTGAGAAAGAGGATGATTCTGACTTGGAGGCCCATGGAGATTCTAGATCAACACTGAAGAAGAAAACATCTGAAGGTTGAAATATATACATATGTATACTTTTTCAGTAATTTTTTTTAATTATTAATATTTTTGTGTATGGCATTCAAAACTATATATTTGTATGTAATTATGCTGCTTTTTAATTTAAATTTAACTTCTTTAATTCATTTTCAAATCTTGAAAAGATACAAAACTGATTTATTTAAATGAGAATGGAACTGAATGAACAAACATATTAAGCAGACATAAAACTAAAACCTTCTAATTTTGTTTATTCCCCCCCAATTTTATGTCTGTCATTTATCTCAGTACTCTTCTGTTATCAAGAAAGAGACTAGATTCAGAAATGTGTGTACGTATGTGGTTATCTGTGCAATGTGTGTATGTATGTATGTGCATGTGTATAAACACATGCACACATACATGCATTTCTTAATCCGGTCCCAATAACAGAAGAGTTGCAATATTTCTGCATTGATTTGAGTGTTGTAAATGCAGGTCTCCTAGCATTAGATTAGTACATTTTTGAAATTTTCTGAATTTCAAAAATAACTAAATATAGCCATAAAAGTTTTATCATGTTTTTATGAATCCCTACCATGCTAAAAAAAGTAATTAAAAACATAATACTGCATATAGGTGTGAAAAATGAAAAGACATATCATTTATTACATTTTATTAAACAGTCTGAATGCAAGTTTTGTAAGTGTATTATTAATCATTGTTACATTTTGTAAATTAAGGGTTAGAATGCACTTGCAATTTTAATATCAAATACAAAGGCAGAACCTGTAAATGCATCTTAAATTCGGTGTTCAATCTGTTTCTGTATCTTTTTCCTCTAAATGAAAATGGTTTTTTATTCAACTAAACTGTAACAAAAGCCATTGGGCATTGGGATCCGTATGGCATTATTGAAAATTTTAGGTATTCTGTATAATTTTGTAACCTAAATCGAGTTTTACTTATTATTACCGTATATTCTGGAGTATAACAATACCTATAATTTCAAACTACAATTTTTAAGTATACTTGCCACATAACATTAACCTTTTTCTTTTCAAAGAAACTTGAAAGATACATATGCAATTCTCTTATCTTTTGAAGTCATGCATTCCTGAGAAGATTTTTCACGGGCTTTTGAACATTGGTTTACTGAACTGATAAGAGGATCAACATGTGAGTGGGGGGAAATACTTAAGTGAGTAAACAATTCTACAAAGAGTGTTAATTGTATTCAATGCAGCTGTGCACAAGAATGTCATTCTAGTGTTTCAAGAAAAAGGGGGAATATAATTTGGGGTAAGAATGCATTTCTAACCCAAATGGAATTCACTAAATAAGAGTCATGTTTTCTCTTTCTATAGTCATTTGAAGCCGAATTGTGAAGTGAACATCCAAGGCTTTAGTAAATCGCATTTGCTTCCCTTGAAATACAGTTGATCTAGTAATCCTCTTAGTAGTAAATATGGCTCTTGCCAAACAAAGCAAACAGCATGCTGGTTTCAAATGGAAAGTCAGTCAGTTTGTATAAGAAAGTGAAAACCATGTTGCGCCAAGAATGTTTGGTGCTCCATGTGTGAGTAGAAGAAAAATGAAATCACAATAATTAATAGGCCAAAGAATAAATGTGCTTTGCTTAAAGGAATAATGAAATTTCGTATCCTAGAAGAAAGTGTTGTAAACTGGCTCATAGAAAACCACCAGAATGGATCAAATGTAGCAAGAAATAATGTATGTTTATTTTCCTTAAAGTGGACAATAAAGAATACAATAAAAGTGAAAAATTAAAGCAATTTTGAATTGGTGTAGTTGACTTATGGCATGGAATAATTTAGTTCTGCAAGAAAAAACAGTTGTGCAAAGGCTTCCAAAAGATTTGGGCAACAAATTGGTAAGCTTGCAGAAGTATGTCATTGACTTACGTAGGCAAAAAAAAAAAAAAAAAATTACTGTCACGTACTGAAATATGGATAAAACACTGGTATTGTTTGAGATGATAGGATATAAAATAATTAATGAGAAAGAAGCTGTTGTTATGGTTCATGTAACAACAGCAGGTCACAAAAAATCTCATCTCACCGTATAAGGTATTTCTCCCACCTACTTAGCATGCCTTCATGGTGTAATGGCCAGCACACTCGGTGCATATCGAGAGGTCTGAGGTTCAAGTCCCAGCGAGAACATTGCCCATTTTTCATGTCTTTTACTTCAAAATAACCTAATATCTCTACAGTGGTGGCTGAACTAAAAAAAGGTCGTGGATGATGATTCTCCACTACCAGGATTTGGCAAGTAGGTCCCTTAATCCCCAGTCATTCTTTAAAAGGAGGCTATATATAAGGTATTTCTCCCTCCTTCATAGTGTAATGGTCAGCACACTCGGCACATATTCGAGAGGTCTGAGGTTCGAGGCCTGGCGAGAGTATTCCTCATTTTTCACGTTTCCTGTTTCAGAAAAATCCTTATGTATCTACAGTAGTGCCTGAACTAAAAAAGCTCATGGATGATGATTCTTCACCGCCAGGATTTGACGATTGGGTACCCTAATCCCCATTCTTCCAAGGGGGAAAAGGGGAAGTATATAAGGTATTTCTCCCACCTTAGCATGTCTTTGTGGTGTAACGGCCAGCACACATGTTGCGTATTGAGAGGTTCAAATCCTGGCAAGGGCATTGCCCATTTTTCATGTCTTCTACAAAATAACCTAATGTCTCTACAACCGTAATGCTCTCCTCCTTAGTAGATGGACAACATTAAAACCATGGTTATTTTTAAAAGCAAGACATGCTGAATCATAATTTCCAAATGTTTTCATTCATATTCACGAGAAAGAATGGATGGATGAAAACGCTATGTAATTGTGGATAAGAAAAATGCTTTTCAAAAGCATCCTGTTGCCTTAAAGAATTCAGAAAATCTTTTAGTTTCTGGGACATGTTCAGATCTCATCTAATGGATAATACAAAGAAGTTTTTGAAAGAGTGTAATACAGACATGGCAGTTATTCCTGGCAGATTAATGCCATTAATTCAGCCTTTAGATGCATGTATCAATAAACCATTCAAGGAAATGTAAAACGACAGTAGAATTCCTGTATGTTAGAAGGTGAAAAACATTTGCAAAGGAGGCCAAATGCACCATGCCAATCTAGAGATAGTGTGTGAGTGGATGATAAAAACCTTGAAGGAAATGAAACCCCCCATAATTCAAAAGTCATTTAAAAATGTAGTATATCTAACAGTCTAGGTGGAATTTACCATGGTTATTAGCTTATCAATCAGAATAATAATAATGATAGTGAAGATGAAACAGGATTCAATAATGTACCTGAACATATAACAGAAGATGAATGTACCGAAGTTTTTTAAAGTTTCTAATGTATGTTATTTCTTTTAAATAACACAGCATTTAGGTACATATAGAAATCTAATTTTTGTATGCTTATCTCTTCCTTATTTTTATATCCAACATATAATGTGCACTCATAAATTTCAGTTGTATTTTTTGCATTTAAAATGTGCCTTTTATGCCAACATATAAGATATTTAATTTTAAATATTGAGTTTTTTTAAATATGAATTAATTATTCTGTCCTTTATTGGCAAAAGATCTGATTATTGTAATTTTGAAAGAGGTTTTTAATCCAATCATACACCTGTTTCCTCCGATTCTCTTACAGTTTTCCAACTGAGTATGTTCTAATGTGCATTTTTTAGCATTGCCACTGAAATTTGATCCATTTTCCAGTAGAAAACTGTTCACTTTTCAGAACATTATGCGGTAATCTCTTTGAAATATGATGGTAAATAACATGATTTTAAAATTAAAGCATTATTTTAATAATATGCATCTTCAAGTCCTTGAAAGAATATAGTAACTTCATTTAAAGTAGCAAAGATAGCTGCTTAATATTCCATAAATTGCAACCATTTGCCACAATTTTGGAGTAAAATCATGTTTACGTTATTAAGGAATAAAAAATTTATTATTTAAATCAATAATATCATTATTTAACTGAAGAAATCAGCTCAAGCTATTTTCTGCAGGCAGCCATTGCATTTCTGAATGTAAAAGCTAGGTTTTTATGGTTGCTAGATCCTAACCAAATAAATAATTGTTTATTGAATTTTCTTGATTTCATAAAATGTATGATTCTTGCAGTGTTACTTGTGATTTTTATTTTACTGCAAGTACAAAGCTATGAAGATAAAAATATTAAATGTATTGGGTAATTGCAATATCTCTTTTGTCAAATGTGCAAATATGTGAATATAGATCCTACCTAAACTACTTTATATCTGCATTTCAGTGTGCTTATATTCCAATATCCGTTCTGTGTTTGACTGATGTATAATTTCAGAGAAAACTATAATTTTAATGAGATTGGTAATAACAGACAGGAGGAAATAATAAGTTAGAGTAAATTAGAAAGTTTAAGAGCTCAGTTTGAATTGTTAATTGAGCTTAAGTTACTCGGATTCAAATTCTTCCCCCCCCCATTTCTGCTGCCATGCCAACAAAAGAAAACTAATATTAGTAACATCCCACTCAAAATAAACCTGTCTTGGGGCTTTATTGTTTAGATCAGATAGAAAAATACTAACGTACCAACCACACAGGAACTGAAAGTTCGATAGTCCTAACTGTTAAAGCTTACTAGAAAAAAGTATTACCGACTTTTTCTGCTTTCAGTACTTAAAATCGTAAATCACACTTCAGCACAAAGTAGCCTGTAATTAAAGACTCGCATCATAGATTTAAAGATAGTCTCTATCATTAAACACTATAACTGCGGTGATTATTTATTACGCAATAGAATCAGTTTCAACAAAAACAAACTTTATTATCACGAAAGAAACAATTGACGCTCCTCGTATCGTTACATCGTTCTCCAACTTGAATATCTCCTACTGTTGCCATACACAAGTAGCTAAATTATACTAACAAAATAAGTAAGGCATTATTAACACTAACCTCATTGTAACATTGGTGTATTATTATTGGCCATGTTGGTGATTCCCTAGCCAGTA